TTAAATAGTTGCAGCACTGAATGAAAATCATTTTATTCCAACTGTGCAACAAGGTAGAAGTGGCATGAATCCTCCCCTCTACCAGAGCTTTCTCAAGGGGTCTTGAAAACCAAATAAATATATATATATATATTTTTTTCCATCAGAATAAACTACAACTAAGGCTTAAGGGACTGAAATGATTGTTTATTTTCCATCTCCTCTCCTCACCAGCTGAACCAGTGCTATACTGGTGCTCCAGAAACATGTCCGTGTGGAGCAGCATCTCCTTTAAACTGGCCTTGCTCATGAATCTGCTGGTCTGCTTCTTTTACCCCCTGGAGGGGGTACATGCAGGTCAGTCACGCTCATGTAACCTTCAGGGAGCAAGTTTTTGAAGCAAGTCATGTTCATTATCTGATGATTAAGTGTGAAAAGCTTGGTTTCAAAAACATTTCCACATATTAAGAAGCAGAGAAAAGTGAAGTTGAGATGCGTAGCTCTGGATAAGATCATTAAGACTTCAGTTCATTTAAATTTCTTCAGAAACCAGGTTCATAAAAAGGGCATTGCAGTCAGCAGAACAAAAAGAGGAATGCATGCCGGCTTGCCCAATTTCTTTCTTTTTTTTTTATTTTTTTTTTTATGTATATACTGTAGTTCATAAAATGTTCTAACATGCAGTGGAAGGCAAAAGTACTCTGTAAACATTTTCAAATTTTGGTCACAACAAAAACACATAAAATATGTGTTAGAAGGTTATTTGGTTAAATAAGATCAAGACTAAGCTTTGCATTGATGCAACACGCTGTGTGCAGTCAATAACCAATGTTGCACATTGGCCAAACAAATTGATCTCCACATGTGGGGATTCAACAAAACTATTATAGTGGGTGCCCTCCCCAAGTCTGGTCTTCATGAAAGAGTTTATAACACAATTTGTTTTAGAAAACTGACTCTAAATTGCACACTGAACAAACTGTATCCACAGAGAAACATGGTGGTGGCACCATCATGCTGTTGTGATGCTTCTTTATAAGATAGTCAGGAAAGCTGATATTACATTTAAACAACAGTCTTGGAACAAGCACTGGAATGAGTAATTAATTAATAAATTAAAAAAAACTACAATGATTGGTTTTAATAGCCCACATAAAGTAAAAAAAAATAATAATAATAAATATATATATATATATATATAT